AACATATACCATCGGGAGATTTGTTTTCTACACACTTATAAAAACTTCCAGCCAAGTTCTCGGATATGAGAATTAATATTTAATGCTAAAATGAAATACCATAAATTTGTTATGCTCATAAAGGCACAACGAAGGCGGTTATCCTTTTTTTTTTTAAATTGTTTTTGGACTCTGCCGGATGTTTTGGTCGAGATTTTTTGTCTGGATAATAACTTTTTAGCTCTTGGTCGTTGCTGATTTACGCTTTCTGAATTTTGTATTTAAAGAATTTTTGTGTGAGGATTTCATTTGGCATAGAGCTTTCAGCTCAAACCCCGAAGATGTTTTGGTAACAAACTTTCAATTAATAATATAATTAAAATCAACACGCCAGTAATTTGAGTTGAATGTAAAATTAGCAAATACTTTAGGCGTTAACAGGCAACTGCGTAATTCAGCGAACATGTACGTTGGGAAATTGCAATAAAATGAGTTTTAATGAGTAGGATCAATTAAGGTTTTATTTGTAATAAAATAAATTTTCCACAATAATAAGAAAAAATTTTATTCTGATATTTTGTTATTTGCTGTTGACATAATTTAAGTGATCATTACATAAATTGTATTTGTTTTGGTGAGGTCTGAGACTAATACTACGCCCATCATGATGTCGTTTAGCGTCTTCCACTTAGTTAATCAGTTGCTCTTAGTCATTTAACCATTTCGATGCGCCTTAGAATCGAGCAGTATGAGGTGGGTTGGAAAACCTGCTTATTACAAATATAAATGTAGGAACACACACTGTTGTATGGTGTAGATCACTGATCGTTTCATTGGGTGAACTAGTCAAACAACCTGTATCGCCTTGCCTCACCACACTGCTGCGAGCGACCTCCGCTTCCCTCTCTTAGGCTTACTCATTAATGTTTCAGTCAGTCAGTCAGTCGTTTTGGTGCAGTGTTGTTTTGTGTTTGCAAATATGTTTGTATGTATTTACAGATGGCTATGCAAGCTTTACATTGTAGTATATACATATTTACATATGTATACATATAAATATGACGCCAACATCCACGTCGTATACTCAATATTTTATGATGACTATTATGATGCCATTTCAATATGAAAACAACAACAACAACAACAAAATGAAAAAACAAAAATTGACTTGAACAAGTGCAGGCCGTGGTGCGGCACGATTTGCCAAGCACAGCTGCTTCGGTGATTTTACAAACAAATGAATGGGCATTTATATTAAGATACTCATTTCAAGCTGCATACATACATACATACATATATACGAGTAAATGTGTATATGTGCATACACGTACGTGTGTATTACAGTACGTATTTTAGTAATAATTACAACAATGTATGCTTGCATTAGCAAATATTTATGCGAATAAACTTTGTTACGGCTCAGTGGACGATTTCTGCTAATTTTTGAATTCGATTTTTTTCATTAATTCTTTGTGGTTTGGATTTTTGCTGACTTCATTTAGCGGTTTATTTATATTTCTGTTATTTTAAATTATTTCGATGCGTTTGCTGCATATTTTTTTCTTATTTTGCTATAATTTTTTCACATTTACGCCATCATATTTTTGTTGTTAAAAAATAATACAATAAAATCTTCCTCGCCGCAAAGTATTGTATATACACGTATGTATGTATATTCTCTTTTGCAAGCTCTGCAAAAGCAGCAACAACAAAAATTCAACTGAATTGCGGCAGCTGCGCACTTTTTTGTTGTTCATTCTTTTTTTCGTCGCTCTTCTTGTGGGCGACAATTCATTGGATTAAATAATATCCATTAGGTTTTTTGGTCCAATTGGTATACATACAAACGTGTATATAAAGGGGAGCAATTTTGAAATCTTTATTTATAAACTTTGTATCTTTTGCTTAAGTAAACAATTTGTTCGTTGAAATTTGAATTCTGAGTTTCTTTTCGTTCTACTTTTGTTTTTTTTTTTTGCTTCTTTTTTGTTTTTTGTTTATTTCTTGTGACAGATCATTTGTTTATTACTATCAAATGACGACCGGAAATCGCTTTGGCTTTGCATGTGATTTCAATTAGCTCAGTTAAACATATTTAATTTTTATATCGAATTTTTTTATTTCGGGTAATTTAAGAATGAAGGACAATAAAGTAAAATGAATAAAATTATAACAATAAAGCTTCTTACTTAGGACCAAAATTACTTACGGAAATTTTACCCGCTTCAGATCCGTATGATAAGTGATTCGTGTTGAATCTCCGTAACGAAGAGTCGGCCTATAGTTCGTACATTCGGCTTATGTTTGCCTTCCTTGAATATTAAAGAGCTTCAGTTCTGTCAGTACTGGAAGGCTCTATTGACGGCCTGCCACATAACAATCCTATTTACTGTTAAAAATCTGGTCTGATCAGATTATCGGAAATCAACTCATCTAGATTAATGACGTGTCTTTTGTTTCCACCCAATCTATCTACAGCACCACCGTCGTATATAATAGCATTAAACTTAAAATGTCATTTCATTTATTTTAATTAATATTATATTTCATCTTTTTCTTAATTAATATTTTACTTTATTTTATTCAATTTTTTTAGTTGAGGTTTTAATATTTTTTTATTTTTAATTTAATTTTATTATTTTATTTGGATTTTTAAGCTTATTTAATTTTGTTCTATTTTTCAATTTGTTTTATTTTTCATACAATTTTTTTGATATTTAATTTTAATTTATTTAACTTTATTTAATTTTACTTTAGCTAATTTTATTTTGTTTTACTTTATTTTATTTTACTTTATTTTATTTTATTTTATTTTATTTTATTTCATTTTATGTTATTTTATTTTATTTTATTTTACTTTAGCTAAGTTTATTTTGTTTTATTTAATTTAACTTTTATTTTCAAATTTTCTTCAGCTTCATTCGGTTTTGATTCTTATTTGAGTTTTAAATGCAAAACCTAATTTAAAAAATATGCTTTTACATACATGAATATCACAAAAGTTCCCACATTAAACTTTCCAACCAGTCTCATCTTCCCTGCAAACCAGGCAGCAAGATCAGTTACGACATCTGACTCATGTTTGACCGATGACTCACGCTTGAACAAGCAGGCAGCCAAGAATTTAGCTTCCCAAAGACCTCCATATGTCGCCTATTTCACCACTTGCCTCCGCAAATTAAGCAAAAGAACCAATTTGTTGTTGCATTTCATAACGACAACACGCAGCTTGATTACAAGAATTGGAATTCTATTGCCATTTCAACCTAAGAAAATTTTGCAAGTGACAGTTCGCAACCGCAGATGGCAGTAAATCATGTGAGGCGCAAAGCAAGAATGTAGCGTGGTGGAGCGTTATGAATTTCACAAGCCAAGCCTAGCAAGCTGCCAACTCGTACGTGCATGTGTAGAAGATTCTCTTTAGCCCGCCGTTAAGTGGTTGCTCAATTAAAATTCACATAACGTAAATTTATCAATTTGAATATTCAGCTACCGCACAAAACGCCACAAGTATATTTGAAAAGCTGGAGAAGAGCGTGAGGGGTGTGCAGAGTGGGGGTTGTATAGGCGTATAAGTCAGTAGGCTCTTTGCCGGAGCTGAGTTTCTACTTGACGCAGACCGTCTTTTCAATTGGCAAACGAGGAAGTATTAGAGAAATCTTCTATTCTACTTAAGAACATTTATATACCAATTCATGCACGAACAGACATAGTTCATTTGTGTGCTACTTTGCAAGAGCAAATATTCTCCGATATGGCAACGCTCAGGCCGCGAGTCTCAGCAGCCGCGTGTGGTTCATTTAATTAACATAAAAAGGCCAGTCAGCAGTCGAGAAGCGGCAAGAAGTGCGATCACTTGATATTTAAATAATTACATATGTATGTACATTTAGCTGCATGAGCGCGTATGTGTGTTTGTGACTTTATCGTTAAGCGTTCGCAGATAAACAATCTATGCCGTCGACTCTCTTTACATTCTTGCAGACATTTATCGTCTTCACTTTACTTGCAATGAAGTTGTTGATTGACTATTATTGCCAGTTATTTGTTGATGCTTGCTAGTGGAAAATTTGCATTTTTGTGGCGTAATACGAAGGATTTGATACTTACAGATACATACAATTAAAACATGTACATCAATAATACAGTACTAATCAATTAATCTATATACAATAAAAAAAAAAAAAATAATAAATTATTTTTGTTATTATTAAAATAACGAAAATAAAATAAACTAAAATAAAATAAAATAAAATAAAATAAAATAAAGTAAAATAAAATAAAATAAAATAAAATAAAATAAAATAAAATAAGATAAAATAAAATAAATTAAAATAAAAGAAGGTTAATCAAAACAGAATAAAATATCATTAAATTATTTAAAATCCGAAAATTTCAAAAAAACTAAATAAAAGATTATAAAATGCAATAAAATAAACGAAAGTAAACTGAAGTAAAATAAAATTAAAAAAATAAAATGAAATAAGATAAATTAAAGTGAAATAAATAAAATAAAAAACTAAAATAGAAATAAGCCAAATTAAATATATGTAAAAATATAAATTAAAATAAAATAAAGTGAAACAAAATAAAATAAAATGAAATAAAAGAGAATGGAATAAAATAAAACAGAATAAAATATAATGAACTTAAATAGAAAAGAGTAAGATGGAATAAAATAAAATGAAGTTAAACAAAACAAAATAAATTTAAAATAAATTAAAAAATTTTAAAATAAATTAAATTAATTTAAATAAAATAATTTTAAAAAATAAATAGAGTAAAAAATATCAAAGTAAAATACAATAAAATTAAATAAATTAAGGCAAAATAAAACGAATTAAACTGAAATCAAATTAAAATAAGTAAAAAAAATATAAACCATAAATATATAAAAAAGCACAACTAAACAAAATAAAAAAAAAATAATATTAAAAAATATTATAAATAATATATGTCAAAAATAAATAAATTTAACGCACCTTAGCAGACGAAAAACAACAAAACTTGGATTCTGAACAAGAAAACGTAATTTAAATGTCACCGAAAACAAACGAAAAAAACCCAAATAAATTATTTATTTAAAAAGTCATGTTGTACTTGTTGGTATTAACAAATTTTACAGGAAAACATACAAGAAAACAACAAACAACAGTAGAAAAACGCGCGAACCAAACCCAAAATGTGGATACTTTTTATTCTCGGCATAATTTTCATCTCATTGGTGACTACATTATCATGGCTGTGTGTGTGTTTGGACAAATGACCAAAAAAACAAAAAAAAACAAGATGCAATTACCATAATACCAGCAATTGGGCAATTGTAGTTGGTATTTAAATATTATTCGCGAGAATTTAAATATTTTTGTGGTGTGCCGTTAGTGTGTTTGCCTCTCTGGCTCGCCTCGCATTGCAGAGAAATGTCTGTATATAATTGTTTGTTGCATTTTGAAGTGCTGACAATGTGCCTTGTAAATACAGCCGCTGGCAATCGACTTGTTGTAGTTGAAATTGTTGATTTTCAATGCTGTGTTTGCGGCAATAGTTCAGCAATGCGCTGATTTGTCAATATTCAAAAAAAAAAGCTCCTTAAAAAATGACAAAAAACATACAAAAACATCAAAAACCAACAACGGACAACTGGTAATTGTGCGATGATTGCTGACAAATGCGGCCAATAAGTCGCTTAAAGGCAGAGAATCAAAACTACAACGATCTTTAACCGCAAACCATGCAACAGCAACAATCAAAGAAGTATGTATTAGCATTGAATTTCATAAGATTTTCATATATGTTAAGGAGCTTGTGTCTCTTGCGAAAATCAACTCGCTAACAATCCAACAAAAACAACAAAGGCTATTTAATCATTTTCCACGTCCGATTTGGCTTTTGGTTCGCACAAAAGCTCTGCTAAGCGCAGCTCAGCCTTAATCAGATGTAAATGCCGTTGCAATAGCAATAGCAACAGCAACATCAGCAAGTATAACAAAACTAACAACAAGCATCGTCAACAGCCACCCATGGCACCTGCAATGAACAAGATTATCTGTATGTATGTGTATGTGTGTGTGTGTGTATATATATATTTTAGCAATAAAAACATTCATCATTTTTATGGTCAGGTTGTAGACACTTCTTTTTCAACTTTTTATTTTAACACCTTTTGCGTTTGTTTGGTTGTATTGTTGTGTGTGTCGTCATTGAGAGGTTGTTGCTCTGCTGCTGCTGCTGCTGCTGCTTTTATTGTAATCACCAACAATATTTGAATGTGGTTTTTTCTTATAATGTCAGGCTTTTCGTAATTCACATATTTTGTCTTGTTTCTCTTTTTCTTTCTTATTGCGGACTGCAGGTTTTTTGCAAAATCTTTGTTTCAGATTCATACGTAAAGATAAACAAGAAAATAATATACACCCAAACAGATTTTTGTTATAATTAAGTTTGCTTTATTTCTTCTTCACCACAAGTTTTCCAAATTATACTTTTTAACATTAAATCAAACCTTAATAAGCATTTTTTTTGTGAAATGATGTTACAATGATTTCTTTTCTCTTTTTCTCTTTTCAGGTAAATTTACTGAAGTTTTGCTATTATAGTGCGGTTATGAAACGTAAAGTGGACTGAAATTACGTCAAACGTCCAAGATGCCGAAGTATGAAATCAACACTTCATTATTATTTATATGCACATAAATAATTTTTATTTTTATTTTATTTTATTTAATTATTTTTGAAATTTTTTTGTTTGAAAATTTTTTGCTGATTTTGTCTATGCATAAATTCACAGTATCAGTAACAGTAAACTGTTGCAGTTTTTAATTGAATATTTAACAGAATTCTGAGACTTTGCATTTTGTAAATTTATTTTAATTAATTCCAAGCCGCCTCCGAGCGGCTGATGAATATTTTAGAGGCGCTTTTTGTTTTAGGTATAACGAAAAAGCACTCGAAGGAGTTGACATTCTTCGTCGCGGGGCGATTGTCATTTAAATGGCAATTGGGTATTTGCTTTTTTACGGCGCCCAAAAATTATTGAAAAAAAGTTCGTTGATTTTGAGTTTTATTTCAATATATTCAATAAACCTCGCTGCCTGTTACACAGACTTTTAGAACTTTAGAGTTGAACGGAGAAAATTTGTCTTTTTTTGGCTCCAGAATCTGCATTGAGCAAGAATAAAAATCTAAGATGTCGCCCATCCACAATTTCAAACGGTTTTAGATTATTCCGCTGCTCTTTATACACTTCCACATCGCACTTGCATACAGAAGACACTGAAATTAATTTGAAATTAGATATTTAAGCGGAGAATTGATTGAGAATTGAGTATGATCGCGCATACTTGTACTACACAAACATATCCAGAAGTGATTCTGGTAGAAGGGGAACAGTGTAAATTGAGGTTGACCTACACAAGCCTACAACTCCGTAAAATTCGTCATAGGAAGAAGGACCAATCCAATGCTGATCCTTGCAGGGAATAAAGCAATTATCCAAAAAAAAACCCTAAAAAATGGTCCAAAAGTTGTTTTAATTGTGTTTTTGAGCTAAAAATTGATATTTTTCCGCAAGTTTTTTATTGCAGTTTTTCTTCTAGTCAATACCAACAACTTGGCTTCAAATACTAGATATGTTCATATCGAAATATTAAGAAAATGCTAAAAATCCACTTTGAGCAAAGAAGCGAGATTCTTATATGAGTTAATAATGCAAATCGAATAATGCAGAAATTCAGTATTCGGCGTCTACATTCAACTCCTAAACACGCAGGTTGCTTGTCGAAATTTCGATGTATTTTAATTCAGATGACTCTATCAGCACCCAAAGCATTCAAATAGAAGCGTGTTGAATGTATGTATATACAAGTATATATTTGGGCGCAGGTACTGTGTCGAAACCTATCAAAACTGGAGGGCTCTTATTCATTTGGACAACAGGACTTAGCCAACGTAGCAGCCGCTGTCTCTTCAGTCGCTTGATTCTAACTACGTCTATGCCTACGTTGCCTATCGCATGCCTCATCGTTCCATTGGCTGCGGTATTCACCGAAAAGCACCGATAATCTTTCCTTCGAAAACTCTCAATACTCACTTACTCGATGCTGTAGTCGCCCAGACCACCGGACAACATAGCAGGGCGGCAGCGCCGAGTGACGTTTAGAGTTTGGTTGTTGTTCGTCAAGAAAGACTCAGTCCAAAGTAGCCTCTGTTGGCAAGAGAGATTCTGCGTTGAATTTCCAGGCTGTCATTGTCATTAGTGCTAATGCTGTTTCCAAGCCTGATGAAATTATCTCGCATAATCACTGTACAGCGTAGTCAAAGCTCTCCGTGCTTAAGTTTTGTGTTTGAAAACTATATCTATTGGTGTACAAATCATTCTGTTTCTGTATTTGCAGCGCATAGAAAGATTTTCAACGCTGATTTTCCAAACAGATTACACGCTCGCGTCTTTTCAAATTAATATTGCCACTCTTTCTGTACTCAATGCAAAAAAGCAATTTAAGAATTTAACTGCTAAGCCAGGCTTTAGGCGGTAAGCTATTGCCACTTACATGCAAGCTTGGCTTGACCAGACGTGCTTAGGCAATTTAATTATTTACTTAAGTACGAGTACTAAGCGTATTTATCTAAGTTCTTCGAAATGCTTTCATTCTATTATTCACTGCAAATTAGATAAGTAAAATGCGTATTTGCAGTAGAAGAAATGAATGCCAAGTTGATGTGGAAGAATTGAGAATGCCTTCAGTATTTGTTTATTCAGCGAAGGCATTATGAAAAGCAATAACAAAGGAAGAGTTTTATTGCTTAAAAGTCAAAGCAATGACAAATGTTTTTTTTTATTGTGTCACAAGGTCTGTACCACTAAAACGGAGACTGCTTAAAAAAAAAGATTAAGAAATTGAAAAAATGTTACAGAAAATTCGTTATTTTCATTCAAAATAATTTGGCATATTTGAGCTGTGGTTGCCTTTTGCAGGTGTGAATGGTTCAATCTTATACTGAACCACATTGATATTAGACGGACCTGGTCGCTCACTTCAGCGCCAACTAAACTAATTTTAAATATTTATTCTCCGCTCTCTCTTCTCTTTCTGGCCGATGCTGTAAACATACTGTCGCATGGGTTCTCATATTTCGGCTTGCACTGGATCAAATCTCTTGAAATCTCGACATCAAGTCACCAAGAGATAGATTATCCATCACCATGCTTGTGCTGTGGCCGGGCATATACAGTTTAGAAGCGGTACCTGCGGGCAAGATGAAATTGGAAAGCTTCTTCTTTTTTCCCGGAGTTCCTCCGCCTTACCAGCATTTCATGTTCGCCAGAACCTGAAGTAAAAATAAGCGAAAAGCTATTAAATTGAAATTGTAAACATAGATAACAACTGCTAGAGTCTTTCAGCGAAATACTCATTTGGCTTGAGAATTTTACGCAAGGAAATTGAAGAAAAACGAAACACATAAAAAAGAAATAAAATTGCTCGCGCCACAACGTTTAACATATCAATACAACAACAATTACGCTGAGCTATTATGAGTAAAATGGAAAACAGGTTAGAAATAAAACCAGCTGGAAAAAGGTAAACAACAATTACAAATTTCAAGCAGCGTTCTTGCGGGCTGCAGGCAGTCGAACCGGACAACGAGCACGACGATTCTCTATGGCTGAGCGGCGGCGCTGTCGCGTAAGCGTGTAAGTCGGTCAGTTGGTTGAATTTACGGCTGGCATTATTGCCATGAATTGACTGGAATTGAAAGCGGCTTAGAATTCTTAAATGAATTACCAAAAGCGATGCAATTAAAATTGAACGAACGTATATACATACATACATACATGCATAGGAGAAGGAGGAGCGGCTGTGGAGGAATTGTAGTTACATATAATGTGTAAATAGAATGTGTATTGGAATGAGTGTAATGAAAGAGAAAGATTGGTCGTACAGTTTTTTATGGCCTACGATTTTATTTGCGTTCTTTTTTTTTACAGTTTATTGTTTGAAATAAATATTTTATAATTTTCCAAGGCAAATTGTATAAACTCGCCTTGATAATTTTCTTTCGAATTTATAGGCAAATCTCCTTTCCATAAAAATATAAATGAACCATTTTGGCCCGGGTTAGGTTTAAGATAACCTAAGCTGAATTCTTCTGAAAAAGTTTTATATTTTAAAGTATTACGAGTATTTATTGTAATGCATTCTAGGTCTTAATGTTCTAACTTCCATTCTCCTATCTGGAAAAATCGGATAATTTTCAATACCAGGATGTAATTCTTTATTCGTATGTATGTCTCTACATTTCAGAATTTTAAATGATTTTTTACGGCTTATGGGACTATATGATACTGCCGACCCACCCCATCTCTTTATAGAGAATCCGCAAATCTTTGCTTAACACTCAACTCTCTATGATGTGGCAGTATTTATTTATTTATTTATTTATATCAAATATAGCTTACAACATAAATCTTATAAGCTATTTGTTCGGGAGCTATAGCTACTAGGCCTTAAGCTCAATACTTATTTACATATGTGGCAGTAACTTCTACAGCTAATTGGATCTCTCACTGCCCAAACTAAGCTGAAAGTACTTCAATGAATTGCGGAGAGATTTCGTTTGGCTGTCCGAAGTTGATGCGGTCCAAGTAGTTTGTTTCACATTTCCAAGGCCAAATAAGTAATTTTTCAATAAATTCCAAATACACAAATCTTTCGCTTGAGTAACGTGTACGCCAAAGTTCTTCTTAACTGATAATCTTTAACCTTTTTGAATGTTTTGCGTCACCACAAATTCACATAATAACCTCAGCGCCAAATGCCAACTCCTACTATTATATATATTTATGTACTTCTGTATACTGTATACTGTTGCTATATGCAACTCACACATATTCGTATGTACATATGTTTGTCCACTCGGTTGCCACATAAGATTAATTGTATGAAACTTGGTGGGGGTCCACATGATTTTAGATGACTGTTGTGGCTAAAACAATTTTTGATTTACGATCTCACTTGAGTGTATATATGTATTATATGATCTAACCGCTAATCCATGCAAACATGATTTTCTCGTTGCTGCACGAATTGCGCAATTCTCGTAACACCTTTGACATTCAAAAAATACTTTCCGATTAGTAGCCACTGTAAATTTCTGTAAGAAACTGCTTAGTGGGTGTGTATAGCTGTGTTGTTATTAAGCATCTGGTAACACTTGAATTTGTCGATGTGTATGTGTATATGAGTAGTGGCGATACCGTCTTCAAGTCGCCAATCTGCCTACTTAACGTCGTCAGATCTTTAGAGTGGCTTAACAAGTGTCTTTAACAACATATCTTTGTATACCACTTTTTAGCGCCTACAATTCTTTGTAACAACAACAAAATAAACTGTTAAAGATAAGCTTTTCGCACTTGACGAGCAATTACCGTAATTATTTTAATTAAATGTATTTATGATTGACAGAAAAATGAAAAACAGAATAATTATTGAATTAAGTTAAAATGAAATAAAATAAAAAATAAAATGAAACAAAAAAATAATAAAATAAATCTAAAAGAAAAAAAAAATGAAATGAAATTAAATTAAATTGAATTAAATTAAATTAAATTAAATAGATTAAAACAATAAAAAAGGATGAAATAAAATAAAATAAA